CGACAGGCACACGTTAATAAGAGGAGGAAAGGCGACAACAGTGGATGGCGTGCCAACTGTTACCGTTTCTCGTTTGCGGTAGAACTGAACGATCGTTCCGCAACAATCATGAGGCGCAATCGTTAGTGGTTGATTGGTTGAATGTAGATGTCCAATTGGCAGCAGGCGATGGCATGCAACCCGCAACAAGAGGTGGCTTCCCGTCCCTATCGCAACTTGTAGCGACGTGTGCTGGCAGTGTATGGATAGGGTGTGAGATCGTACGTCTGAAGTTTGAGGTCAAACAGGGATGATACACAAACAGGGATGACACACAAATGTCAAGTTATTCGCGTCGTTACGGGCGTGCCCAACCGCTATCTCGCCAATAAGGGCGACGGAAGGATGCGCTTCACGATGTACGGGCAATGGTTTCAGCATGTGTTCGTTGCCATCCGCAAAAGAGCCGTATTGGATGATTTAGGGCGGAAAAAACACACAAAAAAGTAAAATTTGTGAATAAAACAACTTACTACTTCAGGTGGGCGCGTCGTAAGGACTTCTGCTATTAAAAAGCATAGAATGTCAGAGGCTTCAATGAAGACTTGTGAGTACAGAGCGGCTATTTGGCGCCGATAGCTAAACACAGCGTTACTACTCGGTGTGTCCTCTGGCTGCTGATGATGGCTATGCTTAAAAACCAAAGCCGACATGTTTGAAGTTTTCATCAGTATGCACCCCATCCATCTCTTGTATCCGCGCCCATAACCCGCGTTGTTGTTCACGTGTTTCGTCCCCCCATAAAACAGTTGTTACCATTCCATCCTCGTTTGTTCATCAGACATGGACTTGGCGGCGATTCCCGTCTTCGCGCTTGAGAAGGAAGTGGCCGTGAAAGAAGTGCAGGTATGTATAGTTGCTCTGATTTTTACTAGGACTGGCGGGGCGGGGCATTGTGATCTTGTGGTCCTGGGGGAATACGTTGAGTGCGCCAGAAGTGATGATCTGAGTCCCGTGTGAGCGCGTGGAGGGCACTCAGTTGGCTTCCACTTTGGCATTTTGTGGTATGCATACGTGGATACGTAGACAAACTGCCAGAGACGCATACACACTTGCTGCATCCAGGACGTAAGAGCAATAGGGCAGAGGTCCATTGAGTTAACTCCGGTGGAGGAACCATGAGAAATCATTCACGATGAGGTTGAAGTGTCGGTCATCTCATCTTATAGCCCCCAGAGTCTGCAAAAAAATACGTTCCGGATCCAACGCTTCCCCTACGTCGCACCCGTGTCACGTTCCTGCAACAGCACGGGCAGTACGCGGTGGCGAGCTTCTGCATCGCCAACGCGGTCGTCCAGGCACCCTTCGTGCTCCTGATCGCATTCTGTTGCAGCACGCCCGTTTACTGGATCACTGACATGAACGACGACCCCGTGAGGTATAGCGCACATGGGCTGTTCATGTCTCGAGGTGCAGGAGACGGGCGACCGTGCAAACTGATACCGGTAGCCTTCCCCAGGAGTTTAAACTTGGTTTTAGCAAGGGGTACGGAGTAGGGGGTTATTACGAAGCCCTCCGCTCTGTATTCAAGCTGGTTACACTCACACATTCAATGTGCGTTGGCCGGGAGTGAGTGTGTGTGGAAAACGAAGAGCTGGATTCCGAGGTTGTGATGACGCTACTCATCTGACGACACATGCTGAGGCCGGCAAACCTACCTCTACGTTGAAGTGTCCTAATTTCCTTGCTCTGAGCTCAACTGGGTGTCTGCACATGGCGGAGACTGTGAGGGTGTGCCCTCCAAACCAGGAAAAAAATTGCCCCTCTTTCTTTGCTGCCGTTCCTGAGCTTTCCCGCCGACAATTTCGATTGGTCAGGTATCTCCAGTTCGTCATGGTGATGTTTCTCTTGCTGTTCGTCGTCGAAAGCCTGGCCCAGCTTGTTGGAGTCCTTGTCAAGGTGAAACCCGTAGTGGTTTTCTGCTTAAGTGAACCAAACAAGCGCAAATTAACCAGTGGGAAAGTGAAAAGCTTCCCAATGGCTGAAAGTGCGATTCCGGACAAGTCTAACGTACATAGAGGTTGGGCAGCCGTGCTGCGGGGAAATACTCACCCGTCGGTTGCGTTCGTTGTTCGGCCGTTGGCAATGCATGCGGGGCCGTTTCGTACACACTCCGGGAGACAAGCGCATATTGCCGTATATTCTGATACCAGGATAAAGATAAACTCGATCATGCGCGGCCTCTTTGTGCTTTGTTGTGCACATGGTCGGTTCGTGCTTGCAGTGGTTTGCATAGTCTGTTAGGAGGAGCCTCCGATTCTCCAACATGTAGAAAGCCGGCCGTCGTTGCCGCATACTTATGCGAAGTATATATATATATAAGCTTACGTCCATCTATCACCCCTTCCATTTGCTCTTGTTGGGTCGTTTTGGAGGCCATCCCTTTCCATCGTCCATCTCTCTAAGGTTCACGTGCTCCCCAGCGTGACCACATGGATGGGCGCATTCATGCAAGTCCCTAATTGCCGGGGTATAGTCACAAAGCAAAAAACATTAGGGAGAGTGTGGGAGCTCAGGGTAAACTACACCCCATATGGTCGAGAGTTCGGAAACGATTTTAAAAACAATAGTGAAGATGAGCGGAAGATCGCGGCTCGACGGCTGTGGCTCAGGGTTCATTGTCTGAAGTCTGACCCCCTCCTTCCACCTCTCGTGGCTCGATGTCGATATCCATGGTGATCTTGGGGCGCCAGAGCTCCATTCTCGGGATCGCCATCTTCGCCAGCTTTCTCTCCGTTTTCTACATGTTCAATGGGTGAGTGGGAAACACGTTGACTGACTGTGACCGTATTTTCCTTCGGCAATCTTCATGTTTCTTGGAAGAACTGTGCGGAAGACCATTCGCCGTGCCCGCTTGATCGCCCGTTGAGACCTGGTGTAGATGTTGCGGAACCAGTCGCTGCTCCTGCTTGTCGGTGGCAACTCCACCTCCTCCACCTTTTCCACCTCCTCCTTCTCCTCGTCCTCCCTCTTCTTCTTCTTCCTCCACCAGCTCGTCCTCCTCCACCAACACCACCTCCGCCGGTCAAAAGGGCTTGCCTACGCCGTGCGTATAACAAGTTTGTGGTTGGAGTTGTTCCCGTCAGTAAATCCCCGCGCTATTGCGGATACCTTGTCCTGACGGGAGGACTTCTATTTTTTGTAGGATCCCATAACCATTCCCACGGGGGTCGGGTGGGTGGGAACACAGAGGCGTTGACAGGTGTCTGATGCCTAACGCACTCAATGAAGCCATGAAATTTCCAACATTCACTGCATGACCTCCCCCTTTCGGCAAGCGATTCAAGCGATCTGCACACCAGGAATCACCCTGGGCTCAATTTTGCTGAAACCGTGGAGTACTCTGCACCTCGCCCATACGATGCGAAGTCGGCTGCAATCGTGCTTCCATGTTGATATTGATTCGCTGTTCATCCCTCTTGCGCTTGGCACATCCACACACTCCCGCACGTACAGAGTTCACAAGCATTTTCCGTCCTTCGCCCAAACCCGATCTGTGTCCACCACAGGTTCTTCGTCGACCCCAACAACACACCCGACGGTTGGCTGTGGCTTTACTGGATATCTCCCCTCCGGTGCGAACGACCACCGTAAACCCGTAAACGTAGGATCTTCTGCCGGCGTTTCTACCTGGGGGGGGGGGGGGGGGGTACTCATAGTCGTGCATGCCGTAGTCGTTAGACCATTGACCTCGCATCCCTACAACGCTGAGACGGAGCACACCGGGTTCTCACCGGACCAGGCTCTCACATCACCAAGCGCGAAGCGCCGTGAGGTATTCGGCGAGTCGCATGAATGGTGCGCTGCATCCTGCTAAGGGTGTTCGGCATCCTGTGCTTACTTCCTTGCGTACGGATGACAGCTGCGAATGACCTAATTTTTTTTCTGGTGCTTTCACTTCCTG